TGCTGAACTTTGTATACATATTGAAGTATCTTGCCATTTATTATGTCCTAATCTTATATTTATTGTGGTTGCAGATGAAAAGCTGGGAATCTTGTTTGGGGCTGAGAAGTAACGAAAAACCCCATATATTTATTTTGAAGAACACCAGTAGGATCTTTATTATTTCAAAATGCAAAATCTGTGGAAGCTTCGAGGGGACTGAAAAACCATTGGTCACTGGTGGATGGATGTATTTTACCTGGCCGTGATGGACTTAGAGAGGTATTAGCATGCCTTTGTTGTGTCGGATCATATTGTTGTGAGATTGGAAATGAAAGCTTTAGTGGTAAGCATGGATTGTTTCAAACTTACAATTGTTAGTTTGCTAGATGGAGCCTGAGTCCTTGCTTCAGATTTTGCTTACCATGTCTGAGGGATGCCTCAGCCTCAGTATCTATCTTGAGGTACGTTCAGTACAGGCCCCAAATTCAGATTGATTCTAAGAATCCACTACCTTTTGTTTCAAGGCTGGTCAGGAATATTGAGCCTCTTTCGTACACTTTTTTGTTGTTCCCTATTAGATTTGGCATTGAAAGTTAGCCACGTTTGCAATGTGCAGAATAATATCGATGAAAACCCAACACATTGCAGACAAATTGGGATCATCATATTTTGTTGTGTTATCCTCATGCTTGGACAGCTTTACCTTCTCATATTGGTTATGATCAAAGCTGCGCAACTAGAGTTGAGAGGCTATTTATGAGGATGGTTTGGCTGGGCTTGGCCATGGTTATGATCCTGGTCCTGGTTTCCAATTTTTGACCCATCTATTTCAGTTTTCTGTTGCCTTAATGGTTGATTATAGTGCAGTTGCTTTTGATCGTGTGATTGTGGTTTAGTTGTCGTTGAACTAGATACCCGTTACTTATTAGGGTTTTATTATTTTTAGTTCAATTATCTATTTGGTCTTGCAAAGTAGCATGATTTTCCCGTTTGGTACCTAATTTAGTCGATGTAAATTCCTTTTTCCATTCCAATGCATTCATGTGCTAATCGTTCAGTAGTTTGTATATTGTTTTTGCATTCTTTTTAGTCCTAAATGTTAACAATTTTTTCTGTTAGTTATTTTGAATATCACATGTTTTCGACTTGGTCTTTCATTTTTTTAAAGTTGGCCTTTATAACAGACATTTTATTTATTTATTTTTTATAGAAGACTAGGACCTGTTTGGAATATAGTATAATTGTTACGGCAACTGCTAAAAGATCACAATACAACCTATAGATCCACAAAATATAGAAGTTAATTTGTAGAAATATAAATTAATTTAATTTATTTTATACACTTTAAAGTTTTTATTGTGAAGCTTATTTTTTGATTCTAGTAAAGGCCAATATTTTATTAATGCAGAACAGAACCAAGGCACAATGAGTGCATTAAGTTTTGGAATAGTATGGTATGTTTTGATATTTTTTTATAAGCATTTATAGAAGAAAATAATAAAAATATGAAATAAGCTTTTTCAAAAATTAAAATTAGCTTATGCACAATTTAATTTATAAAATTTCTTATATTAGTTTCTGTCATATTTTTTAATTTATATTTAAGGGGGGAATACTTCTCCAGGAACATCCTTTTGAAGAATTCCTAGTCAACAACCACCCCTCTGGCGGTCAGCATATGATGGGTACCTCTCCACCAATGCTCTGCCTCCCCAACACACAGGAGCACCCCACGGCGATACACTCGGCCGCACCAGCTGTTTCTCCAACAGGTCTTCCAACTGACCCTTCAGCTCAACCTGCTCAGCAAGAGCCATCCTATAGGGAGCCACCGACACTGGCCCCGCGCCTGGGACCAGGTCAATGCTAAACTCCATCTCCCTAACAGGAGGCAATCCAGGCACCTCATCAGGGAACACTTCATCAAAATCCCTCACCACATCAATATCAGCTAAGACCCTCTCGGTCTCCACACTCAGCACAGCAAGCAGAAGACAACACTCTGCTCCATCTCTCAACAATGATTCAGCTTGGCCAGCCGAAATCAACAGCTCCTCTTCCTCCTGAGGAAAAATCAACCGCCTATTGGCACAATTTATAAGAATACGATTGGCAGCTAACCAATCCATTCCTAAGATTATGTCAATATCAACTAAAGGCAAACAAATCAAGTTTACCTTATACTTCCTCTCATTCACCACAATCGGACAACTAGCACACAGTTCAGAAGCAACTACCGATGCAGAAGCGGGCGTCGACACTAGCAGTCTCAACCCCAAATCACACACAGGCACACCCAACACAGCAGCACAAGCATAAGATATGAATGAATGAGATGCACCAGAATCAAAAAGGATCATCACATCCTTACCAGCAGCTCTACCCTTCCCTTTCACAAGATCTGAGGAAGTAGAAGCTTCAGCCCCAGTCAAGGCGAATACCCTACCAGCTGTAGTGGGTCTGTCACCCCTCTGAGCATCACCCCTCTGGGCACCACCTCCCTGTGCATCACTCCTCCCTGGTACACCTCTAGTAGGACAGTTGGCCGACTCATGGCCCATCTGGTGGCATCTGAAACAACGGCTCTTAATGTGCGGGCAATCCCTGACAAAGTGGGGACCAGCACACCTATAACATCTCAGAGTGGCACCTCCACCCTGTCTCCCTCCACCTGTAGCACCAGAAGGTTGCCTGATGACAGGACCCCCTTGTTGTGGTTGGGGCCTATCATACGGCTTCCTTTGGTTCCCTCCTTTCTTGGACCCAGATGGCCCCTCAGCAGTCTTCACCCCGCGGTTACCACCTTCCAACCGCTCAACTACCTTCTCCTTCTCTACTAAGGCTGGAAACTCCGTGATGGCCATAGGCACCACCACTCTCTTCAGATCATATTTCAGACCCTCACCAAACTTCCTGCACTTCCAGGTCTCAGCTATACCCTGTGAATAAAAATGAGCCAGGTGCTCGAATTTCATTGCATATTATGAAACAGTCATCCCTCCTTGGTGCAACCGCATGAACTCAACTTCCTTAGCATGCCTCACACTCTCAGGGAAATACTTCTCCAGGAACATCCTTTTGAAGAATTCCTAGTCAACAACCGCCCCTCTGGCGGTCAGCATATGATGGGTACCTCTCCACCAATGCTCTGCCTCCCCAACCAGCATATATACAGCATATGCCAATCTCTGCTCCGGTGAACAGCCCAGCACTGTAAAAATCTTCTCAAGCTCACAAATCTAGTGCCTACGAAATCCTAAACCAATACACCCCCCTAAGTTAATTTGAATTTATAAAGAAAAATTGATTTTATTTTTCATGTTTATTTTCTTTCTAAAAGTGTTTATGTAAATATTTATCTGAACAAAACCTTTGATTGCTACATCAATCGGTAATACTAACACAAAGACCCCAAGTGTAATCAAATTTATTAAATAAAGTTTTAATACATGATTAGAAAACAGTAAAAAAAAATATCATAGTCATCCCAAATTTAAACTTTTTAAATATCTATCTCCATTTTAATTATTCTATTATGTGAAATATTATTTCGATTTAAATTCATGGGGTCGGGTAAAACTATTTGATTTTCTTTTAAAAACAAAAACGTACTCAAATTTTGGTAGGAGGCTTAAATTTGTTTTGGGATGGCCCTTTGTCAGATCCTCCATATTATCTACCATAAGTAAAGTTCTAAAAAGGAGATGAAGTTAGTTCGATTAACCGGTTGAGCCACGAATCAGTCATCTTACTTTTCTGTATAATCTAAGAGGGGATTAGACAAAACGGGATAAAATTTAGTGCTAATAAATAAGTTGAATAGTTTTTTAAATGATTTTTCGTATTCATTTTAATTATAATTTTACTTAGTTTTCTAATAATGTTATACTAATTTGTTATTAAATATATATTGAATAATTATGGTTATATATTGAAGTTAGGTAGGGTTATATTAGCCTTTAATTTGTTAGCGAGTATTTAATGATTTTTTTTCTGTATATTTTTTTTAACTTCAGTTTATATGCAATGCCAATTTAAAAGAAATAATTATGTTGTCTACTAATTATAAATTAATTGGATAATTTTCAAGATAATTATACTAAAAATTAATAAATTTATAATATATTATGATTTGTAATTAGATGACAATTATTTATACATAGATTATTTACACATATTTTATTCCAAATATTATTTTTAAATTTCTCCTAAGCTACTTCAAATGGAGTATAACATTTTAAAAAATCATTAGTTTATATGGTACTAAACTCGTTTTCTTAAATAAGATGTCAAATTTGAGACTGTGTATAAAAAAATATAATTAAAAGAAGAAATTTTTCTAAAAGTGATTAACTAAGTTGTTTAATAAAAATTTATTGTTAACTAGTGAATATTTCATACTCATAATATGAATTTTAAAAAAATAGGGTAGGATGCAATATTAGAGAAAATTTAAAATTTTGTACTATCTCTAATCTTATATAAAACAAATAAAAACATCTTTATCCTAATTATGAAAATCATATGCCCACTTTCAAATGCATTAAAAGTTATTTTTATTTTTTATTTCCACTAAAAAACTGTTAATTTTATTTTAGTATATTATTAATTTATCGTAAAATTAAAAACGAGATATTCACTCATTTTCCATGAAAAAAGATGTATTCATTATGTTATTAATAATTTAAGTTACCACTTAAACTATTTAATTAATTTTTATCGGTCTTAATGAATAGGATATTCGTTTCGTAAAGTATGCAAGAATGAATGTAATATTATATAGATAAAGCTATACGAATAGTCAATTACTCAAAAAAAAAAATGTCAATAAGTTGAGATAAGTTTAGAGTTTGGTGTTATAGAATGTACTTTACTCTAATTATTAAAAAATACTAAAAATATTTTTTAAAAAATGATTATATATTTAAATTATAAGAATATTAAAATCAAACCACATATTTTTTCATAAAAAAAACTACTTTTTTTTATCCATAAAAATCAAATTTAGTACCAAAGCTATGCACCGAATTTATTTATTTATTTTTTAAAACAACCTATTTAATTAAGGAAACATTTAAAAGAATTTATTTAACTTTAAAACTAATTTATATCTATTTACGCAACCATTCTTTACATCTTACGACATTATTTTCAAATAACATCCGGGTTGATCCAATATGAGGTTAACAAAACTCTTACATTAGACACTTTCAAAATAATATATTTTATATAGGTATTTATATAATTTTTTCAAAATTTTATAACTTAAAGTCATTTTTGCATTCTTAAAAGTTCACTTAAAAAAGTCTATATCTAAAAGAGACACAAATATAATTATTTTTGCAATATTAATCTCTAAAATATTTTTATTTTTTATTAAAAGAAATTATTATCAATTTTGAAAAGTTTCACTTTAAGATTTGTTTTAAACTTAATAAAATGTTGGATTCATCCTAAATAAAACAAATGACATGGTTAAATAAATTAAAATAGAAAAATATTGAATAAATACTCAATTTGATCTTTAAAGATGATAGAGGTAATCAATTGGTTGTTGAAAGATTTTTATAGCATATTTAATTATACAAGTTAATCATTTTGGTATATTTGGTTACAAATTCTATTAATTTAAAGTCAGTCATCAATTAATTGTCAAGTTGATACATATTTTCTATCCTACTTGGCATGCAACAATTATAAACTAAGTAGATTTAGAAATATAAAGTAAGATTTAGTTATTAATTTAATTTAAAAATAATGAAATTAACTTTTGAATGACTTATTTTTTCTCACTTACTCACATTATAACTAAGCTCTTCTCCACTTATACATGAAGAGTTTTACGATTCATTAAACATGACAAAAATACTCATATTTAATTGATGCATCCTTACTTGAGATCTTTCAGAACGATCATTTATTTTACTAAATTTTAAATTCAATAATTTAAGATTTACAAACCTAAATTTGTAATCATAACATACGAAGAAATTAAATAAGATTGAAATAAAAAAATTAAACTATAGAAAATTTGATAAAATTCAATAACAACCTTCCATTTTAAACAATAGTCATGGTTAGAATATTTAAACATGACCATTGCTTATTAGAAAATACTAAATTCCTACATTATGTTTAATGTTAAGTGATTAAGAGAGAGAACAACCAACTGGAAAAAAGAAAATAAGTCAACCTAACACTTGATTATTAACTATTCAAGAAACTAACGAGGTTAATAACTAAATATATATAATAGAAAGATTAACCTACATAATAAGGTTAAAATTTACGAACATAAATATTTTAAAAAATCCTTCAAGAATCTATTGACCATTTTACCATCTTTTATCATAATAAGGTTAAATAATGTAATGTAATAAATAATTAATCACTTGATAAAGTTATTAAATAATAATAAATGCATTACAAAATTATTTATGTAACAACGTTAGTAAACTGAAAGCTTTGACTTAACCTCTTTAGCCGAACGGCTTCCAGCTTCCGAACCAGGAATGCAGGAATCCGTTTTCATTTTCACAAACAATCTTTGACTGTTCCCATGAATGGAGGAACGGTCCAGATTACCTTTTCTTTCGCGAACCTTAACTCATCATATTCTGAAATCTGAACTGAGCTTATTTATTTTCTAACAAAACAAAACCCTTTCTTCTGATCACAAAATAGGGAAGCAGATACTGATGTTGATATTGATAATATAAAAAAAAATTACCAGACCCCATTTTGCTGCAAATCCTTCTCTTTTTACCAACTCATGATGCTGCTCGAGCTCGCATGGCCACTGTCTCCAAGTATTGGCATAACCTCTGGAATTCACTCTCTGCATTGCACTTTTCCTTTGATCAGATTACCCACAATCTCCAAAGTTTCATGCCTTGGGTTGATGATTCCTTGTCCACTCTACGATCACCTCAGGAGTATCCAATCATTCACAGCTTTGTATTGGACTTGCACTTCGTACGAGAAAGACCACCTTTTGACATCAAGGATATGCTTTACATCTCCATAATTGCTTATATCAATGATTGGATCAGTTTAGTTTTAATAAATTGCGTCAAGCATCTCAAACTCAGTTTTTCAGACATTGCCTATTCCTTGCCTTTGGATATTTTCTCTGCAAAATCCTTTCTCACACTCAATATCCAGGGTTGCTCTATCCACCCATCATTTGCTGCTGATCACCGTTTAATTGCCTTAAAGAGCTAGCTTTGTTGAGGGTTGATGCAAGTAGTTCTATCATTCAGAAGATCCTATCTTACTCCACTTTGCTTGAGAAAATTGTTCTCAAAGAAATTGGTGACATGGGGTTGGGGTCCCTTAAAATTTGCAATCTTCCCAGGCTTAATTATGTTGAAATTGAACAAGAATTTGAGGACAAGCTTAAGATTGAAGCGCCAAATCTTCGTACCCTCATCTGAAAGTTAAGTGGGCAAGCTAAGGTGCACGTTTCTGATGTATCACAAGGTCCGGTAACTATGGACCAGAATTTGTTTTTGAACATGCCAGTTTGGAGACTTTGCACCTGAGCTCTACTCATGTGCTAGGATAGAGGTTGCGTGTTCTCATCTCAGAACTATGTCCTTGTCAAACAAGGGTTTTGAAAAACCACTGGATGTCGAGGTTGATGTCCCAAAACTTGAACAGCTCAATTATGAAGGTTATGTTGTTCCATCTTTCCATGGTATGACATCTTATATAAAGCCAACTGTCACACTCAAACTACGCCTTGGAGGTCGCCCTGGTATGGATGTTGCAGTGAGGAGTTGTATTGAGATGTTCAACCAACCAACATTGCATTTAATTTATCTTTATGGACAGGTATATAATTTCACCTATATGATATTGATATCTTTTTTGAAGCTTGAGACCTGAGATATTCAAGTGAGCTTTTTTTTGGGTTCTTCAACTAGTGTTTCAAAGCACAGGAGATTCTCTGGCTAGGACAAGTACAAGAAGA